ACCTGGGGAAGTTCGAACCCACCAACGTTCCCATGGATGCCCCATCATCTCCCATTCCTTGGTGAGGGTTACACCAGGCCCTTCCAGTTTCAGGCCCTCCCGTGGGTCTGTTGTGCTTGATGGCGCTTGCAGGCTGCATGTGGGAAGGTTTCTGCTGCCCGTGCCCTTTTGCCACCCCAACACCCCTGGGGTTTAAACTGAGATTGGGTCTTTTCCCAGCGCTCCACTTTGGAGGGCTGCAATTCGGGCTCTCTTGGTTAAGAGCCCCCATCTTGACCTTGGCCACCCTCTGAACAGGTGTCTCTGTCCCCAGCAGCTTGGCAACAGCCCCTTGCATTTGACGCCGCCACGTCGGAGGAGAGTGGTCAGTATACACGGTAAAGCACCGCCCAAATAGATACAGCTGCAGCTTTCTAAGGGCCTGCACCATGGCCGGGCATTTCTTCTCTGAGGCCGCATAGTTCTGCTCCCGGGGCAGCAGTTTCTTGCTCAGGTACCCGATGGGGTGTCTCCCCCCCTCAGCATCGGCTTGCATCAGCCCCGTGCCCAGCCCTGCGTCTGAGGCGTCGGTGAACACTGCAAAAGGCTTGGCAAAGTCTGGGTTTGCCAGATTTACCGGGCCCTGGATTAGAGCCTCCTTAAGTATACAGAGAGCCCGCTGGCACTGCTCAGTCCAGACCACCTTGTCTGGCTTATCCTTCTCACATAGCTCAGGGATGGGGGCAGCTAGAGGGTAAGGTGGGGTAGCACCCCGCCATCTTGATAAAGGCCTGGACTTGTTTCTTGGTCTGGGGTATGGACCAATCTTTGATCATCTTCCCCTTGCACTTTTCAGCTTTTACCGTCAGTCCTGCCTCCTTGAGGCAGCCCAGCACCCTCTTCACCTGGGACACATGTTCCTCCCAGGTCTGGCTAAAGACACACATGTCATCAACGTACGCCAGGGCCAAGTTCTCCATCCCCCTCAGCTTGTCTAGAATCTCCCCAGGCCTAGGCATGGGGTAGGCCTTGGACACGGTGATGGCTTTAAGCTTCCAATAGTCCCCACAAAACCAGATCATCCTGTCTCCCTTGGGGACCAGCCCCACGGGTGAGGCCCACGGGCTGTTGAACGGCTGGATCACATCTAAAGCCAGCATGTCCTTGACCTCTCTCTCCAGGTTCTGGGCTGCTTTCCCAGTGACTCTGAACGGGGAACACCTGATGGGGAGATTGGCTCCCACCTCAGGGAAGAGATCCACCAGGGGGTCTTCCCCCTTCTCCTCCCAGTCTTCCCCTTCCAGGTCCAGGGGTCCCCTCACTCTCCTCCCATATGGCAGCTCGAAAGGGAAGAACCCTGTGGATTCCTGGGGCACCACCAGCTGCCTCCCAATTCCCCGCAGTTCTACTTCCCCTTGGGGAGCCCATTCCTGGTACAGGAATCCCTTCTCCCACAGGACTCTGTCCCTGCAGCCTTCCCCAAGGGGGTTTGCAGCGCGGTGGCCAGCAAGTTCCCTTAGCTTTTCCAAGGAGGGATCCTTGTGCAGCTCGGTCTGGAATTCAGCTGCTGGGGAAGGGAGTGGGACCTGTTCCCTCTCGCTGGCTGGGCCTGGGGTCACAGCACCCCTTAGCCCTGTCCCTGGTAGCTCCCTCCCTGCTGTGTAACCACTTCCCAGCAGCACGTCTGGACCAGGTGTCACGGACTCACAGATCGTGCCCACTCTTGGCCCCGTGCGGTCCGTGGGGGGTGCCCCTTTTAGTGAGACAGCCCTTCTCGGGGGTCCACTCTCTCTCGGGGTCCGGCCCCTCCACCTCCTGGATCCGCACCTCTCTGAGCCTTAGCATGTCTGTCTCTGCCGTGGGCCCCCTCAGGGAGTCCACTTGCTCTGGACCCCCGGGGCCTCCACCCCCGAAGGGGTTGATGCAACCCTGTTCTCTAGACCGGAGTGACTCTCAGCCAGCATGAAACAGAAGGGTTTATTGAGAGTTGAACACAGCACAGGAACCTCTCTGACCCTCAGGCCTGGCCTCCCTCAGCCCAGCACATCCCAGTCTCTCTGCCTCCAGGTGGGCTCTGCCTGCTCCCCCTCTCCAGCCCCGAGCCCCCCTGCTCCCAGCTGGGCATCTCAGATCACTGGCCCCAGGCCCCACCTCTGTCCATTGTCTTCTCTTCAGGTAAACAGGGTCGTAAACCGGGGCCTCCGCTCCTGCTTCTCCCTCTGGCTGGAACCGGCTGGTTAGGTCACTGGGTCCTCACTCTGCAGCCCAGTCCTCCCACTGGCCAGAACCGGCTGCGTCTCCTCAGCTGGGCCTCTGGGTCACCAGGTCGCCAGGTCACCGGTCGCTGGGGTATCCATCCTCCCGGCCACCGGATGGGTCCCCGCATCCTCTCTCCGGTCCTCTGCAAAACACACTCCCTCTCCCCTCACCTCGTTAAACCAGTAACACCCAGGGAAACTGAGTCCCACCCCCTCTGCATGCAAACCATTGAAACCCCACAGAAAACAAGAAAACCCCCCACTTCGTCACACAGCGGCACAACGGGACTGGCTTCGGTTCCAGGTCCAGACGACTCGGCAGGAAGGAAGACAGGACCTCCTGGCACAGGCTGATGGATGCTCTGTTCTTGCTCTTCTTGCAGCTCTTCTTCCCTGCGTCAGCGTGGGTGGAGGTATGCGAAGGGTCCGCACGGCAGATGATGGCTCGTTCTTGAGTGCAGGTGTGTACCCTCCCGACAACCCTTAGTGTGGTCCTAGGCCTACCCTTCAAGGTGAGCAGCAGCAGCACCCAGCAGCACTTGCTACCTCCCAGATGGGCAGCCCCTCCTGACTGGAGACCAAAGCCATCTGTACTGCCCAGTCTCTGGGCAAACTACCAGGTTCCCGCCCTTAGATGAAAAAGGGCACCAAAACACAACAGGGGGTGAGGAAGAAGGCTATCAAACATGGATTCCCAGTGGTTGTTACAGAAATCCAAGATGGCGTTATGGGGAAGATGGTACTATAGGGATATTGCACAACACAGGAAAATTTCCCCCTACAATGTGACTCCTTTTGCCAGTCTGACAATGAGGCCTATGCAGCACTGAGTGTCTCAGGGTTATAGTTCAAGTTGGGATAGTTTGCACTTTCACCAGAGTGGTGGTTAAGCAGAATGAATGTCTTCAGAGGTGTCCAGTCCAGATGTCTGGCACCATTGGTGACATCAACTGCAGATGTGATTGGGGGGAGGTTTAGATTGGATATTAGGAAATACTATTTCACTAGGAGGGTGGTGAAGCACTGGAATGGGTTACCTAGGGAGGTGGTGGAATCTCCTTCCTTAGAGGTTTTTAAGGTCAGGCTTGACAAAGCCCTGGCTGGGATGATTTAGTTGGGGATTGGTCCTGCTTTGAGCAGGGGGTTGGACTAGATGACCTCCTGAGGTCCCTTCCAACCCTGATATTCTATGATTCTATGTGTCCAACAGTGGTTGGGTGCATCTGAATCATCTGTCTGTGCGAGGGCATTGGTCTCATCAGAAGTTTGTGCATATCAGTGTGTTAGGGTTCAGAGCCATTTGTCTGGCCCTCAGATCATTCCTTCCTCACGTGCAGGGAAAGGTGGTGCCTGTAGTAACAGACAATACTGCTGCAGTGGGTTATGTCAGCAGACAGACTTTGTGCAGAAGCACTAAGGGTACGGGATTGGTGCAGCCTCCACAGTGTGTTCCCAGTGGCCCTGAACTTGGCAGGAGAGAGCAGTGTGGTTGCAGACTGTCTCAGCAGAGACACATCTCAGATGCATGAATGGTCCCTGAAGGATCAGTTGGCTCGCAACATATTCGCTAGATGGGGTCAACCAGCTGTGGACCTGTTTCCAACAAGGTTCAACAAGAAGTGTCACCTCTTCTGCTCCAGAGCCAGCAGGGACAGTAGATGCTTTTCTACTGCACTGAGGGGAAAGCCTGCTGGATGCTTTCCCCCCACGTCCATTGATCCAGAAAGAAGTAAGGAAGATATGACAGGTCAGTGCAAGGAGGGTGCTCATCACCTCTCGTGGCCACCCCAGCAATGGTGTTACTGATCTCCTCCAGCTGTCCGGCGGAGCATTCAAGCTGCTTCCTCTGTCACCAGATTTGTTGGCTCACCAGGAAGGGAGACTTCTTCATCCGGACCCACTGTCCCTCCATCTGACAGCTTGGGGTATCGGACTTTGACTGTTTAATCTCGAGCAGTTTGTTGGTTGTTTGCGAGATGCTGCTTAATGCTAGGATGCAGTCAATCAGACAATGTTACAAAACAGACCGGGTATGGGACTTG